TCGAACAAATATGAGACAAATAAAAGTCAGCATCTAACCATACCGATTCTATAAATGTTTCTCTTTCCTTAGTCAGCCGAGAAAAGCGATAGCTAAATATAACGCGTGTGAAAAGTCTTCAGCAACAAAAGCATCTCGACATTTGCAAATCTATTCGCTTGCCTTTCAAAACACGTGATCCCCGGCAGAAAAGTCAATTCTCTCCATTCTTTGTTCAACAAATTCTCTATTCCTGCTTTTCGTTTGGTTTGATTAAAAAGAAAAATGTGTTCCATTTCGACGCCCCGGGCAAATTGGTTCCGAAACAAAGTATTATACTCAGTCAATAAACTGCAAGAGATAAACAATTGTAGGAGTGTATTAACCCTCTACCCTGGCGTAGACGTGTATATACGTCTTTACCGAAGAGCGCTTTTCCAGGCACGGACGAATAAAAACGTCCAAAACATAACGTATAAAAGCCAGCTACAAACGTGTATATACGTCGATCTTGATTTTTTTTTATGTCAAGGAGCCTTACTTTCTTAGTTACTATATTAAAAACAAACAAAAAATTTCGCCTAAAAATGAAAGGTTTTTTCCCCAAAATAATTGGCGAGGAAGTGGTTAACTAAAAGAAGAATTATCAGGATAACTGGATGCGAAATTAGGATGGAAACTGAAATTGCAAATTAGAAGCACTTAATTATACCCCCCCCCCACCGGCCATGGCTCGGAATCTCCCGACAAAGCTTAAAAATGTTTTATCCTATCTCCATCGAAACTGCACAAAAGTTCTGTTCCACACATGCTCCTGCAATTCATCGAAAGTTTCTTGACAAAATCCAAAGAAGGATCTGCAATATAATCGATCCTGACCTGGCATCTCGACTTCAGTTACTTTCTCGTTTCCATTTCTACGCCCCGAGCAAACTGATTCTAAAACAAATGATGATACTCAGTCAATAAACTGCAAGAGATCAACAATTCTGGGAGTATATTAACCCCTTCCCTGGCGTAGACGTGTACATACGTTTTTGCCAAAGTGACTTTTGCAGACACTGACGAATAAACACGTCCAAAACATAATGTTCAAAAACAAGCTAAAGACGTGTTTATACGTTTGTCTTTCTCATTTTGTGCCCCTTCTGGGCTTGAAACGAGTCCAACATCTGGTAGAGGCGTTAGTCCCCGCTCGGATACTTCAAGGTGCCTCAGTTTGTTCGTCTTCCCAAACCAATAAAAATAATTGGCGGGGAAGTGGTTAACTAAAGGAAGAATTAACAGAATAAGTTGATATGAAATTAGGGTGAAAATTAAAAATGCAAATTAGAAGCACTTAATTACCCCCCACAACTAAACACGGTTCGGAATCTCCTTACAAAACTTTAAAATATTTTACCCCCTCTCCACCGAAACGGCACAACAGACAAAAAGTTCTTTGCCTCAGGTGCCTTCTGCTATTCATCTCGAGTTTCTTGACAAAATCCATAGAAGGATCTGCAATATAATCGATCCTCACCTGGCATCTCGACTTCAGTCACTTTCTCACCAACATGACGTGGCTTCCCTCAGTTTTTTTATGCATATATTTTTATGGTCATTGCTCTGACGAGCTTTTTCCTGGTACCCGGACTATTTGTGTTTAAGCGTGCTACTGGATTGGCATCTATGTCCGTCCTTTATATTAGTTTGGTTTGGTTTATTTTGGTATACGGCATATCAATCTCAATGGTTTATTTAATACTGACAAGATTTTTAGGATAGATTCGTATAAATAAAATATGTATTCTTTGGTTTAGATTGGTTTGGTTTATTTTGGTTTACGGCATATCAACCTCAGTGGGTTATTTAATGCCGACAACATTTTTAGAATAGATTCGTATGAATAGAATATGTATTCTTTGGTTTAGATTGGTTTGGTTTATTTTGGTTTACGGCATATCAACACCTCAATGGGTTATTTAATGCCGACAACATTTTTTACTGCTGATAATATTTTGTTTTGTCAAAAATCTGTTTCTGTTAATATATTTCCTTCAAAATTATATTGCTGGTAGTAATTTTTTTAAAAAAGTATTGCTGGTAATATTTAACTATTTACCCATAGCTGGGAGCCTAACAGGTGCTACCACCCTGGGTCAGGGTGGACCTGGGAACAACAGCATTTAAGAGCTGGTTCTACGCTCCTGAAAACCTCCTGATCAGAGGCCTTGCTGCTGGATGTAATTTATTGTCTTACCCAGGACGCGGATGTAGTTTAACGTCTTTCCCAGGACACCCTTTGTATTGTTAAATTAAGTAAATGCAATCGTCACTTCTACTCCAACAGTTTTTTCTCGCACTCCCCGCTTGTGGAACTCCCTTCCGTTTCCTTGCTTCTCTGATAACTACAATCTTCAAAAATTTAAATGCAACGTCAATCGCCATCTTCTAGCTTATTGAACCTCATTCAGCTTTTATTCTTTCCTCGGTCCCCTCTATACTTAGTCTTTTCTTTCTCCGTCACTCTCTGTACCCCCTGCCCCCGCGTATTAGTGGCATTCCCGCCTTACTTAAGTACAGGTCACGCATTACGAAGAGCTTTATCTATGTAAAATCTGTTTGACTTAAGTTTTTTGTTTTGTTTGATTTAAGTTTTTTTTTATCTTTATCTATGTAAAATCTGCGTGATTTAAGTTTTTTGTTTTATTTTTATGTAAAACTGTGGGATTTAAGGGGATTTTTAAAATCTTTTTCTATGTAAAATCCGTGTGATTTAAGCTTTTTGTTTTATTTTTATGTAAAAACTGTGGGATTTAAGGTTTTTTTAAAATCTTTTTCTATGTAAAATCTGTGTGATTTAAGGGTTTTTTTTTATCATTATCTATGTAAAATCTGTGTGATTTAAGTTTTTTGTTTTATTTTTATGTAAAAACTGTGGGATTTAAGGTTTTTTTTTAATCTTTTTCTATGTAAAATCTGTGTGATTTAAGGTTTTTTTTTATCATTATCTATGTAAAATCTGTGTGATTTAAGTTTTTTGTTTTATTTTTATGTAAAAACTGTGGGATTTAAGGTTTTTTTATCTTTTTCTATGTAAAATCTGTTTGATTTAAGTTTTTTTTATCTTTATCTATGTAAAATCTGTGTGAATTAATGTTTTTTTTAATCTTTATCTATATAAAATCTATGTGATTTAAGGTTTTTTTTTATCTTTTTCTATGTAAAATCTGTTTGATTTAAGTTTTTTTTTAACTTGTTTTAAAGGAAACTATCAGTGGAAAATATCATGAAATCATTTCTGACCTTAGGTCTCTGGTTAAGAAACGAAAGGAAATGTGTATACAACAGAAATTAATTAAATAAATAAACAAATAAATAATAATAATAATAATAATAATAATAATAATAATAATAATAATAAGAAGAAGAAGAAGAAGAAGAAGAAGAAGAAGAAGAAACAATTAAGAAAAATATATCGCTTAACACTTTACCTATCCTCGAGCCCTTTTCAAAGAGGGCCCTTATTTTACTATTGGTCTTGGTCAACTTGTCCCAGTTTGATACTGGGTAAAAATATCGATCTATAGTTGGATAATTTTGTCACAGTCATCATATTTTTTGTTATTTATGTGTGTCCCTTCTGGACGTGAGCGATCATGGCTCTTCACATCTTCGTGTACATTTCAGTCCTTAGTAATGTTTGTCTTTTTGCCATCCTTCCTAATCCCTCAACTGCCTTGAACTGCCATAAGCCCGAAATGTGATTTGAAGGTCGGAAACACTAGAATTAAGCAGACGCGGGGAGTTTAAATATCTGGGAAGCGTTTTGACAGAGGACGGTAAGGGCGACACTGAGATCCGTAAACGTATTGGAATGGCCAAGGACACATTCCAAAAGCTGGGCAGAGTATTGCGAGACAGGAGGATTTCTTTTGTAACAAAGAAAAGAATACTGAGCTGTTACGTGGCATCTGTGCTTCTTTACGGCAGCGAATGTTCGACGATTTCCTCAAAGATGAAGAAGAGACACGAGGCGACGGAGATGTGGTTCTACAAAAGGATGCTAAAGATATCATGGGCTGAGCGTGTGAGCAACGATGAGGTTTTAGAGCGGACACCAACAAGGAGGAGGCTTATACTTAATATCAGGAAAAAGGCAGCTGAAGTTAGATAGATTACTAGCTATTTTTCTCTGGCCCTCTTTTTTTCAATATGTCCTGTGGGTATCAAATTCTCCAACCTCTTTTTCCTGGAAATATTCAATTGACTATTTCTGGTCATAAGTAGAATTGTTCTATTTGTTTCCATTTTCTCAGTTCAAACACACGTTCAGCGAATAGTATTCTCAGCATCCTTCTGTAGAACCACATTTCTGTTGCTTTCTTCATCCCGGAAGAAATTATCCAGATTCACTGCCATATAGGAGGACCGAACTACCTAACTTCTCGTTGGTTCTAACGGACTTTTCCTGTGTCTTGATACTTTGCTTCGTTTTTAGAATTCATCTTTCGCTATCCCAATGCGACTTCGGATTTCGGTGTCATATATTTACGTCTTCCATTAGAAAAAAAAAAAAAACTTCCTAGATATTAGTGTTTCCAATTTGCTTTATGCGCTGCTCGTTTGATGACAACCGTACATTCTCTTTTCTGGTGATTAGTCCTTTCTTCACACTTTCATTTAGTAACTTCTGTAAGAATTCTTATATTTCCCTTACGGTGCCTGCTATCAACTCTGTGTCATCTACATATCTTATGTTGTTAAGACCCTAACCGCTAATAACAAATCCTGCTTGGACTTCTAATGCTCGCAGGATTGCTTCACAATTGAATTGGTCTGGTGAGAAGGCACACCCTTGTCTTACACCCTTTCTATTTTTGTGTATTTACTGAAATCATTTTCTGCCAATACGCAGGTGGTTTTGCTCCCACACTATGTTCTGGATTATTCTGATATCCTTCCTCAGATAAATGTTTTCATTTTTTTTTTTTTTTTTAAATTCTTTCTCCTCCAATTTAATATATGATATTACAGGAATGGAACCGGTAGAAAAATCCCGATTGGTGAGCAAGGGAAATTAATTTTGCAAAGAGAACCACAATTAATGGTTTGGTGCGCTTAAGAAAATTATTAATGAATGGCCGAGTGCAGGCCGTTAATTTATATGCAAAACTCGTAATTCTGCAGTTTCAAGTTTTAAGGAACTCAAATGACAAATCATCTAAAAGAAAAAGAAAAAACCAAGGCCATTTCAGTAAAATGCGAAAGAAAGAACCTATTCATTATTTGGAACAAGAATTTTTCTGTAAAGCATTCTGATATTTGAGGTAGTTCTCTAAGCAAAAACCTATACATGACACAAGACCAAAAGTACGGAGCACCCAGTGAGGATCGAACATTACTCAGTCGTAATTAATCTAGCGAGACAATCTTGCTAACCATTACACTTCACCGAAGTACCCCAATTCTAAGCGCAGCTTAGACGTGGCACAAGGCTGAAAGTAGGGAGCTCCTAGTGAGGATCGAAATCAATACTCAATCGTATTTTATCTAGCGAGAAAAGCTTGCTAACCATTACACTACACCGAAGTACCCCAATTCTAAGCGTATCTTAGATGTGGCACAAGGCCGACAGTAAGGAGCTCCCAGTGAGGATCGAACTCAATACTCAGTCGTAATTGATCTAGCGAGATATGCTAGCTAACCATTAGACTACATCGAAGTGCCCCTATTCTAAGCGTAGCTTAGATGTGGTACAAGGCCGAAAGTATGGAGCACCCAGTGAGAATCGAAATCAATAGTCAGTCGTAAATGATCTAGCGTAACAAGGTTGCTAACAATTTCACAAAGTCGAAGTGTCTTAGAGTGATTTTATATTCCGTAGCAGAGATGCGACACATGACCGAAAAATTGGGGTACCCAGTGAGGATCGATATCACTATTCGGTTGTAATTGATCTAGCGAGACAAGCTATCGAAGTACCCTGAGCGTGTGAGCAACGATGAGGTCTTAGTGAGGATGCAAACAAGGAGAACAAGGCTTCTACTTAACATCAGGAAGAGGCAGCTGAAGTTTCTGGGACACATAATGAGGAAGGAAGGCCTGGAGAATCTGATACTCACGGGTCGAATAGAGGGAAAGAGAGACAAGGGGAAACAAAGCATGACATACCTAGCGACCTTAAGCAAGTGGATGACAGAACATGGTCTGGGGGAGGAGGCAGATGGAAGGAACTTGTTGAGAGCTGCAAGGGATAGAGGGAGGTGGAGAGCCATGATCGCCTACGCCCTGAAAGGACATAATACATAAAAGGAAGAGAAACCAGTGCTTCTCAAGCTATCTGATACGGCGTACCGGCAGGGTTTTTTTTTTATTATCATTTCTTTTTTTTTTTTGTCATTGTGCGAGAGACCTCCCACTTTTTTTTTTCTAGATATCTCTTATTTCAGGGTCATTTTAAGACTATCTGTACTAAATACGAGAACATGGTGTTTTATTCATTCTCAGATCAGTCATAATTGACGTAAAAAGTCTTCCCTTATTTGTGCTATATAATAATGAACAAAAAATTATTTGATCAGTCATAGTATTATTCGTTTGTACCAGAAAAAGTATATTTAATATAATAAAAGTTGCAACAGTTTTTATTTTATATTGATTTTTTATAAATATATGTCCATGAAAATCGCCTTTTGATTTTCCTAGGCGCGATTCCCCCCACCCCCAGTTACACGCCGCATCATCATAATAGTTTTGTCAGACGTATTTTAGTTCATTATGTCGCATTCTTTAATTGGATGGTAATGGCTTTTCATATGAGTGAACGATTGAAAAATGTAACCATCATCAATATAAAACTAAAATGAAAATGTCTCACTATTCTTTCAGTCATTTTTTTTTTTCCTTTTGTGTCTGTTTGTTTGTTTGTTTGTTTGTTTGTTTGTTTCTTTCTTTCTTTCTTTCTTGTCCTACCTAACTCTCGTTTTCTCTCTCACTGTACGTTCTTTCTTTCTTTCTTTCTTTCTTTCTTTCTTTCTTTCTTTCTTTCTTTCTTTTTTGTCCTACCTAACTCTCGCTGTTTTCTCTCTCCATGGCTTTTCTTTCTTTCTTTCTTTCTTTCTTTCTTTCTTTCTTTCTTTCTTTCTTTCCCTGCCGTATGCCAATGGCTTAGGGGTAGGATCTCCGACTGATACCAAATCGATCCCGGTTTAAGACAATCGGATGTCTAGCCACAATGATGACCTGTGAAACAGCGAGACAGTCTATCTGTCGATGGCAATATGTCGGTTTCCATTGGTCAGACAAGTGTCACGTGGATTAAAAAAAAACAAAAAAAAAAACGTAGATAATTGTATATGTATGTAAGTCTGTGATACCGTCATTTGACCTGGCGTGATATACCACTCAGCTACAGAGAAAGGGTCTGGTTAGCAAAATCCAATAACAGTTATACCCTTTAGCTGAGTGGTATAGCAAGTCAGATCAATTGAATGTTCAGTATAGAACACAGATTCGATTCCTGTCGGAGAACGCATATTTTCTACGAAATTTCTCAATCATTCAAGCCGGTAGATGTACTTAATACTGTTTATTTAAAAAAGCGAAACGTTTACGTCAATAAATTGTATCTATGAAATTAACATATATACAGAAAATATATTAAATAATTGTCGGTCTTTATCCATTTCATTATATGTTGTCAATGTAGCATATTATATATACATATATATATATATATATATATATATATATATATATATATATATATATGTGTGTGTGTGTGTGTGTGTGTCAGGCACGAATAGCAAATGTGCCACTTTATACTGTATTATGTGCTTCATTCGCCATTCGTGCCTGACGATTTGGGAAGCCATGAAACTTTAAGTTACAAAATTAGATGTGAAGAAAAATACTCGTAAAATGCTGAGAGGGTGTGCTTACCATTGCCATTTGCAATGATGGAACTACGCATGTTTACCATACGAAAAAAGATGTAAAAAAATTAGATGTATAAGTATTTATTAATATATACTTCATAGCTTTGTTTTGTTTGCACCATAAATTAATTTTTTGTTTATCTGTTTATACCCGCTTTCGCACACATACATTTGCTAGTACCTCGTTATTGAGTGTATTTTCATTTGAGCACCTTTGGAAGAAAGGGAATTTGTTGATTGCTACTGATGATTAATGCTAATTGATCCCTCTAGTAGTCGGTAGTCGGTAGTGCATATATCTTGTATATAATGTGTTAAAAATTCCCTTCTTTCCTCCCGTGCGCTGATGTCAAATCGGTCGAATTTCGATCTCGGCTGGAAGCAATCGAATATCGAGCCGCACTGATGAGCTGTGATACAGCAGAACAGTCTTTTTTTTTATCAAAGACTTGTCAGAGATTGAGAGAACACAGACAAAAAGACAGAAACAATGGTATTTTCAATTATGTTCCCATTGGTTAGACACGTGTCACGTGGATTAAAGCCGTAGACAATTCTATATGTATGTGTTATGGGATCGTACCCATAATAATAATAATGGACTATTCCATACTTAATAAATACTGCGCCTCAGGAGTAGGCAAGAGGTCAATAGTTCAAGTCGAGTCAAGAGTCGAGTCAGAGGCAGTCGGAAACAGAGTCGCGTTCAGACAATTACTGCAAGACATTGGAATAGTGATACTGGTCGATACTACATGGTTCTCTCTACTAAACCTGATTGTTCGTACTAACACTTCTACTTCTCTGTATATATTCCTGTTTGTAATATATCTGTGTTATTCCATACCTATGTTCGAGTTCTTCTTTATTGGTTCTACCTTGGACTATCACCGTAGTACAAGGAACCGGACCATAACAAGTCTTACCGGACATAACAATATGTAAGTTTGTTAAACCGTCATTTGATCTGGCTTGATATACCACTCAGCTACAGAGAATACGCCTGGTTCGTAAAGTTCAATTACTGCTATACTCTGTAGCTGGGTGGTATAACAAGTTAGATCAACTGAAAATTCAGTATAGAACACAAGTTCTATTCTTGTCGGAGAACGCATATTTTCTATGAAATTTCTCAACCATTCAAGCCGGTAAATGTACTTAATATTGTTTATTTAAAGAGCGGAGCATTCACTTCAATAAATTGTATCTATTAAATTCACGTATATACAGAAAATATATTAAATAACTGACGGTCTTAATCCATTTCACAATATGTTGTCAATGTTTACGTTAAGTTTCGTTTCGTGAGCAGAAATGATCATTCGGGAAAGATCGTCGAAGATTTGTTGTTTAAAAACATTAACGTTCAAATGATGATGCGTGACTTCGTGCTAGCACAGCCATCGACGGCCACCATGGGTTCCGTCTCCCCAATTTTCACTCACAAAGCTTGGGTCAACCATTGGTATGATTTTCAGGCGGTTTCCTAAGGTGTTGCACTCTGGGATCACCTCCTCCAGATCGATAACATCAAGACATTACCTTACTGACAAATCAACCATGATGAGATTCGAACCCGAGTATCATGGTCAAAAAGCGAACGTTTTGACCAGTGGGCCCTGTGTTTACCGTTTTAACTCTAGTGTTAACCGGGCCTATGGCTACATTTTTGTCCAGTGTAAACCGAATGTTTTCCCGCCCTTTTTACTCTAGTGTAAACTTAATGTAAAACTCTGCCTATATCGATTTTTCTATTATTTTTTTGACATATTTTCCAATAAGATTTACATTTGACATTGAATAACCCAACGTATGTTGATATGGCGTTAAATCAACCAATCTAATCCTCACTCTGCTTTTAAATCATACATCATAAAAGCTAAATATCTTTTTGGAATAAATGCTTTATATAAAACCAGGTATCTCGACAGATCTTTTTTTTATCTGTCACATCGATGCTTTCATTGAATTTCAGGCTCTTCATTGACTCCGGACCCTGAAGCAACATCTAGTCAAAATTTCAATTCCGGAAGGCCGCGTCCCTGTTAGGCTGCACTTTCCCTATTGCAGTTAAAGAATGCAGAACATTGTCAATGCCTGAAGTGTTGCAAAAAGAGAAGCGGTGAAGAAACCAGACAATACCTTGCAGCTTCTCATGTACGCGTGATGCGATTCACGTTCTTAGCCAACTTCTGTCATGCCTGGAGGTAGGTAAATAAAATTAAAATCGACCTTCTTATATCGGAATTTTAGGAAGGAGAAATGATCATTATTATACCCGTTGCTTCGTTCTTAACAGGTTCCTTATTCTCACAACAACACGTACCTCTGCTTCAGGTGTCTGTCTTCGCACTTTTGCAACCGTATTGGAATTTCGAGTACAATCACAGAGGTAGTTTGCTTTCATTCTGCTTTTCATGTTGAGGAGACATTTTATATCCGTGTCTGTCTTCACACTTCTTAAACTTGGAATTTTGAGTACAATCATAAAGGTTTCATTCTGCTTTTCGTGTTTAGGAGACATTTAGTATCCATGTCTGTCTTCGCACTTTTTTCTTGGAATTTCATCCTGCTTTTCATATCTACCTCGTAAAGACAGAGCATAGAAATGACTATTAGTACGCTCCCCCCCTCCCCGAACATGAAAAACAGCTGCAAATACAGGGTGACCCCCCAAAAAACGGGAATTTCTGAAGTGCGTATTGCCAGACATGAGCAAGTGGCAATACTGTGAGACAGTGACCTTGAGCAAGTAAACATTTCGCCATTTAAAATTCAAGATGAAATTCCCAGTATCCCAGCTGAAATGTTGCAGCAGTCAATGAGGAATCTCAACAGCAGATTTTCAAGTATGCATTCGTACAGGAGGACGCCATCTACAGGACGTACTTTAAAAAAAATGAAAATTCCGTTATTGTTTCTTAAATGGCATGTTTTAAGGTTTCAATTACTATGAATAAAATATTTTTCTTCCATCACTCTTGGTTTTAATGGATTGTTAAAAAGTTCCCGTTTTTTGGGGTCACCTTGTATTTATTTGGAAGTTCGGAAAGAGTCACGAGGAATAGGCCGGATGCTCTCATCATCAAATACGCTTGAGTATAATATTATTTGCAGTCTGCGAGGACCTATCCAAGAAATAAATTTCGAAAATATCCTCTCCACTTTATTCAACCTTACTACCCTGTAATTTTTTTACTATTTCCAAATTAAAAAAAAAAGCTCTGAAAGTATAAAGATTTGCTGACATCCAGCAACTCGTGGTTACATTCAGTGCCATACGCGATACACGCTTCGGCAATCAAGTCTCTTTCTATTTATGACTGACTAGACAGAAAATATTCGCGCAGGAGATTACTGCTTTTTCTACGCTAGACTAGTCCCCAAAGAAGCTTATTGGACCCATTCCGTTCCGCTATTCAACCCAGAGCCGAAGGGGAGAAGACATGGATACATACCTTTGCCAACGGTATTTGTCGTAAGTGAATTTAAGCCGAATCTTACTCTTCCCCCAACACCCCAGCTATGGGTTAATTAGTAGGATTTGTATCAATAAAGTATTCAGTCAGTTAATTGCCACACGTGACACCGACTTGGGCGATCATGTGTATTTCGATTCATGACTGGCCATACAGAAGATATTCCCGCAGGAGGTTACTGTTTCTTCTTCGCTAGATTCGTTCCCAAACAAGTTTACTGAACACAGTCTGTCGTGCTAGTCAACCCAGAGAGGAAGGGTTGAAGAGACGGATACATACATTTGCCAAAGGTACATGCCCTTAAGTGAATTTAACGAAACCGAATCTTACTCTTTCCCCACACCCCAACTATGGGTTAATTAGTAGGACGTTTATCAATAAAGTATTCAGTCAGTTAAGTGTCGTACGTGATACACGCTTGGGCGATCATGTCTCTTTCGATTTATGACTGACTAGTCAGAAGATATTCCCGCAGGAGGCTGTCGTTTGTTTCTGCAGTAGACTGGTTGCCAATCAAGACTACAGAATCCAGTCTATCCTACTATTTAAGCCATAGCAAGGGGAAGGCCAAGGGTATTTACGCGTAAGTGAATATAACGAACCCACTTTGAATTCGAACTCAGATTTCTCATTCCGAGCCGATATCAATTACACCACAACAGTTACATTACTGAAAGATTTCCAAGAATGTTTCCACCACTGGCTCATCGTCTCAAGAAGTGAATAGCGTCGCCAGGGGACAAATTTGACAACAGACAATAATGGACAGGTAAGCAAACCTTTCTTTCACCTGACCATTCCGGCAATGGAATTATTACACCTGGTATTTTATATAGGTAAACAAATAGTGTGATGGCGAAATATAATAACATCAAAAGCATTTCACGCTGTCTTATTCTCGCGAGACTAACATTTTAAAGAAACCATACCCTATATTATGAATTCGTTCTGACGCCAGAAACAAAAAAAAAACGTCATTTTATGTCTGAGACTAATCAACTCTTTTAAATTACAAAACAGATATTTTTGTTAAAACAATGTGAAGTAATTGGATATTTTTTTTATCTTCAGATAAACATCTATTTTAAATTTACTTCTTTGGCGTAAAATGGCCAGTAATTTTCTTTGTTTCGACGAATCAATATTTTTCGTTTATATTCTGTCGTGCAAAGCAAAGCTAAACCTGAAACTGCAGACGCAAGAAGAATCCCTTATTTCTGTGAAGGGGATTTGAGTTCGATTCTACCCGGGGTTGGGGGTGCTTACGGTCACATCCCATTGAAATACCGGTTCCCGTACGATCAGTGAAGTTAAGCAACATGGAATCTGGTCAGTACCTAGATAGGTGGCATTATCATGAAAACAATGACCTGCCAGATCGCAGACGTAAAATCGGCTTATTACGGGTTTAACACTAAAGAAAACGAAAAAAAAAAAAAATTGAAAATCACAAGGATCTCCCCCGAGAGCACAGAAATGGATCATGATTCATAGTTTGCGGCGTTTGAAACAATGTTTTCTTCTTTTATGCGCCGTCTCCCGGTCAGTGAACATGGCTCTCCACAATCTTCTATCTTGTGTGCCTCTTAGCAGTTTTTTCTTCATTTGCTAAGGCCGCCAGTTCTCGTTCCACCATCCATTCACGCAAGCTAGGCAGGCAAGTGGCTCGCTATCTTCCCTTTGTGAGCGCGTGGCCGAGTGGTTCAAACGTTCGCTTTCTGACCGTGAGAGCCGAATCTCGCCGTGGTCGATTTTTCAGACAGGTGACTTTCTGGTGTTATCGGTCTAGAGGAGGCGAACCCAGTTTGTGGCACCGTTTAAAAGTGTCTGAAAACCACGTGTTGACCCAAGCCTTGTGATTGAAATTTGGTAGACAGAGCCCTTGGGAGGCGTCTATAGTTGTGCTAGCACGAAGTCACAAGTCATCGTGACCGAGGGTTTTGAGCTTGCTAGCCTTGTTCAGTTTGCTGATCACGCTAGATAACGCGCTCTTTCCCATAAACTGTAGCTAAGGTCCGCTTGGCGTAGTTGCAGTTGAAACCACAGGTGGGTTTTGAACAAACACAAATGTGCCTGAGCCGGCGTCTTCAATTGGGATTAGCTAGCAGCCCCAGTAGACTGTCTTCCTCGGATTCGAGTGGCTGCGCTATTTATTATTTACCTTCCCCTATCTCTTACCCTCATTATATCTCGTGAGTTTTAAGTTTTCCAAGCCGCCTTTTCTCGTTATGTGTCCAGGGAGTTTCAGCTCTCTTTTCCTGATTATTAGTATAAGGCGTCTTTCCGTTGCCAATATCTTAAAGCCTTCTTCAGGGCGAGTAAGCAACAAAGAATTCTCAATATCCTCCTGTAGAAAGACATTTCTGTTGCCTTTAGTTTTTTTCTCATCATGCGTGGGAAGATTGTCCAACATTCATTGCCATATAAGAGGATGAATATCACATAGCAATCAAGCACTTTTTTTCTTTGTTTATAATAATTTTTCTTATTACCTTGCTTAGCTTTTGGAATGCCTCTTCGCTAGTCCAATCCGTGTTCGGATCTCGGTGTCGAATTTTCATCCTCTCTTGAAAGGCTACCCAGATATTTAGATTGTTGTACTGTTTGATCTCTATATCTCCAATTCTTAACTCACATCTTGGATTTTCTCTCTTGCTGATGACCATTCATTCTGTCTTTTTGAAGTTGACAGTCCTTTTTTTAAATCGGTTTCTTCTAACACCCCGGACTACGCGGTCCTGATTCTCATAGTTTGCGATGTTTGGAGGAGGGTCACATTTTTCAAAATTGGATGAATTAAAATTTCGATTAAAAGCTGTACTGTCCAGACAACAGCATTGCTGGATTCTGCGAGAATACAGGTGAAAAGCAACGGCATTACTAGATTCTGCGAGAATACAGATGAAAGACAACATCATTACTAGATTCTGCGAGAATACAGTGAAAGACGAGAGCATTACTAGATTCTGCGAGAATACAAATGAAAGACAACAGCATTACTAGATTCTGCGAGAATACAGATAAAAGACAACAGCATTACTAGATTCTGCGAGAATACAGATGAAAGACAACAGCATTACTAGATTCTGCGAGAATACAGATGAAAGACAACAGCATTACTAGATTCTGCGAGAATACAGTGAAAGACGAGAGCATTACTAGATTCTGCGAGAATACAGATGAAAGACAACAGCATTACTAGATTCTGCGAGAATACAGATGAAAGACAACAGCATTACTAGATTCTGCGAGAATACAGATGAAAGACAACAGCATTACTAGATTCTGCGAGAATACAGATGAAAGACAACAGCATTACTAGATTCTGCGAGAATACAGATGAAAGAACAGCATTACTGGATTCTGCGAGAATACAGATGAAAGACAACAGCATTACTAGATTCTGCGAGAATACAAATGAAAGACAACAGCATTACTAGATTCTGCGAGAATACAGATGAAAGACAACAGCATTACTAGATTCTGCGAGAATACAGATGAAAGACAACAGCATTACTAGATTCTGCGAGAATACAGATGAAAGACAACAGCATTACTAGATTCTGCGAGAATACAGATGAAAGACAACAGCATTACTAGATTCTGCGAGAATACAGATGAAAGACAACAGCATTACTAGATTCTGCGAGAATACAGATGAAAGACAACAGCATTACTAGATTCTGCGAGAATACAGATGAAAGACAACAGCATTACTAGATTCTGCGAGAATACAGATGAAAAGACAACAGCATTACTAGATTCTGCGAGAATACAGATGAAAGACAACAGCATTACTAGATTCTGCGAGAATACAGATGAAAGAACAGCATTACTGGATTCTGCGAGAATACAGATGAAAGACAACAGCATTACTAGATTCTGCGAGAATACAGATGAAAGACAACAGCATTACTAGATTCTGCGAGAATACAGATGAAAGACAACAGCATTACTAAATTCTGCGAGAATACAGATGAAAGAC